CCACCCCTCCCGGCTGCTCCAGCCCCCTCAAGCCAGGCGAATGGGGCAGGAAGGGGTTAAAGGGCTGATTGGGGTGGGGGACCCCACCTTGTCCCTACACGGGATCTAGGGATGATGCTCCAGATTGTCTGTGGTGGAGGCTGGGGGCCCCCCTGCGGCCGTGGGACCGGCAGCCCTGCCCGCAGCGGGCACCGACACCGGCAGCCAAAAGGCTTTTCCCCATCCTGCCTGCTCCTGCCTGTGGGTGCCCCCTCCCCTGGGCTCAGGCAGAGCCACAGGCAGCAAAAGGAGTGGCAGCTCAGACTTTGGAAATTTCATTATTCACTGTTTTTTTTTCTTACAGCTTTTTCACGGTGTGGCAGCTGAGCCAGCGCTGGTGCAGCCGTGGGATGCCGGGAGCTCTCTTGCACCCCTGGATGGGGCAGGTTCCCCAGCCCAGGGCCTGAAAACCAGCCCAGCTCTGGGCAAGCCCTTGTGGCTCAGATGAAGTCCGTGGGGATGTGAGCGTTCACTCCAGGGAGGATCTGCCCTGGGTGTCATCTGCAGCAGCGGGACAGGCTGCAGGGAGCACTCTGCAGCCGTCTGCCCCATCCCTGGTGTTAACCCCACGTCACCTCTCAGATGCCCTTTCCCGTCAATTCGGGGGATGCTGGGGAGTGGGGTCCATGCGTGTGCCCCCAGCCCACACCAGCCAGAGGTAGTGCTGGGCACTCTCACAGCCCCACCACCCGCTGCCTCGCTTCTCCCCACCCGTGTGCTCAGCTGCTGGCTCAGATCCATTTTCCCCCTTTCCAGTTCAAACCCAGCCCCCAGAGATGTCAGAAATAGTGCAGGTTTACCTCCCAGCTGCCCCCACCCCTGCGCCCCCATGCTGAGCTGGCTCACAGCGTGTGTGGTTTAACTTCTGGGGGTGCATCTGGTACCTGCTGGCCCTGCTGCCAGGTCTCCGCAAGGCCGGGGGGGGGCACCTCCCGCTGCGGACACCCTCCACAAGCCATGGCTCTTCTCCGTCCTTGGTCTGCTCCACCACTTCTCTCCCTGCTGACGTGTCAGACCCGGCGCCCTGGGGTTGAGGTTCCCAACCAGAGCTCTCAGCTGTGGCCCCCAGCCCAGTGCCCCCCAGCCCTCCTCCTTGCAGCCCCCCCAGCTTGTGTTGCCAGTTCCTTTGGCAGAGGCACCCGCTGTCCCGTGCAGAGCTGCTGCTCTAAGCCCCAACTACTGGGACTCACTGGGAGTTGTGCTGGTGTGAGAGGTGATGCTCAAGCGCCGAGGGGATGCAGGGAGCCCGATGTGGAGCGTGGCTTGGCCCCAGGAGCATGGAGGAGGTGGGAGAGGTCACGCACCTTCCCCTCCACGTGCTGGAACTGCCTCTGCCCCTTCTGTGGGACCCCCGGCCCTCCCAAGCACCCTGTGCCCTGCACATCGGGCTGGGAAGTGCCACAGAAAGTATTAAGGGCCAAATTCTCAGCTGAGGCAAACTGGTTCAGGGCCTCCGAAGTCGGTGGAGTGGCACCCATTTGCACCAGAGGAGGATCGGACTGTGCATATACTTTTATATATATATTTATATATATATGTGTGTGTATAGATATATTACATAAATATATATGTATGAAATAATTTAAGAAACATCCGAGACAGCATGCTGTGCTCTTGTGTAGGGCCGGGGAGGCTGGGAAGGCAGCTGCTTGCCTCCTCCCGCTCTACCAGCTTTGATTCACAAATGGAAACAGAGTCTTGAATTAAATTAAAAACCGCACGCGCACACACACGCACAGACACACGACACGGTGCAGAGGCTGTAAAACTCAGAGGCGTGATGCTGGAAAGTCCAGGTGTCCCTGAAGAGATCAGATCAACTAAAGCTGAAGGAGGGGGAAATAAATAAATGAAGGGAAACCAGCAGAGGGGATCTCGCTTGTGCCAGTGCTGTCTCCAGCATCGGGTCCCCTGTGTCTGGGCAGGCCCCCGTGGGGACACGGGGACAGTGTCACAGCCCCGCTCTGTCCTGGCTGGGCTGCGGTGGGGTTGGGGGAGGCTGGTGGGATGTGCGTGTCCTGTTGCATTTGCCTTGGACCCGCTTTCTCCTTCGCCACGTGCTTTGCTTTCGCTCCATCTGAGTTTTTTGCCATCTTGTGGTCTTCAAGGATGGAAGGGAAAACCCAGCCCCCACTAACCCCTCTCTTCTCTCCGCAGAAAGTTCTCCCGGAGCCGGGTTTGGTCCAGCTCAATCCTCCCCACTGACAGAAGACCTCCTTCCCACGGACTTCCAGAACAGAATGACATTTAAAAAACCACCCAAAACCCCTAGAAAAACCCAGCGCCCCATAAATACCCAGTTTCTTCCAAAACTCCTCCTCGTTCCCCATCCCACTCACCCCAAACATCCCAGAGGACTGACGGATCCCGGCTCCGACACGCTGCGTTCCGAGCGATCGCTGCCAACTGCAGCGAGGGTGGAGGGCCAGGAAAGCAACTGAACCGAGCATGTGAAAACAACCTGAAAGCCTTGGACCACCGTCCCCTCCCCGGCCCTCTCCTCTGTGGGAAATGGAAAGCCCCCGGGGCCGCAGCGGCGGGGCTGTGGATCAGCTGGGGAGCAGGACGTGCTCCAGAAAGTAGCTGACGGAGTCCCAGTGCTTCCAGAGGAAGAAGAGGAAGAGGACGAGCAGGGCGGTGCTGAGGATGCGCATGCGGGTCTTCATGAGCGGGGTGATGAAGTTGGCGATGGTGGAGACGAAGACGAGCAGCACAGCCATCAGGGCCAGGATGACGTTGATGAACTTGCCCAGCAGCGCCCGGGCGTTGGCGTTCTCCACCCCTTCCAGCTGCACCACCTGCTGCTGCTGCTGCTGCAGCTCCAGCTTGGTCACCCGCGTCAGGCAGGACTCCACGGCCTCCTGCGAGGGACAGCACGTCAGGGCCAGCCAGCAGCAGCTCTGGGGACGCCCCACGAGGGCTTTCGGGACTCGCTGCATCCTCTGAGACCTCGCTGCTGGGAAGTTCTGCCCATACAGCTCCAACGGCTGCACGACCTTGTGTCCCCTGGCAAACCCTTGGCCCACGGGATGTGCGACACGCGCCCGTCCCGCTCTGCCTGTGCCGGGGAAGGTCTCGGTGCCGGGAGTACCTGCTCCACTGAGGGCGATGACCCAAACTGGGACAGCGGGGACTGAGTGTTGGCCCACACGTGGCTCATCACAGCCCAGCGCTGCAGCCGTCTACCCCAAGCCTTGCCCTGCCTCGAGTACCCGGGGCCTTTCACACAGCGGGGCGTTTTGGGGACACGGCTTGGTCACTGCTGCTTGTGAGGACCTCATCTAGAGGGTGCTGGAGAAACGGATCCCCCTTGCCCACCCACCCCAGCCCAGGGTCCCTCCCTCACCCCACAGATGGAGGGTTCAGGGGGGGTCTGAGCCCTCACACTCCCCTACCTGGATGTCCCGTGCCCTCTCGTAGGACTGGTAGGCCACCTTCTCCTCCATGCTGGCCAGCTCCTGCTTCAGGTTGGTCATTTCGTTCTGGTGCAGCTCGGTGAGGTCGTTGAGCTGCTCCTCCAGGCGCTCGTACCTGCGCACGGGGGGTGGAGGGGCGCTGGGGCGGGCAGGTCTCCCCACAGACCCCCATGTCCTCCTTCCCCTGACCACTCGGCCCCTCCAACCCCCCCTGCTCCTGGCTGTAGCTGGTTATGGCTGCTGACGGGAAAGCACTGCATGATCCTCCATGGGAGCGGAGCTGCTGGTGGGTCTGGTGGTGGGGACTGCAGCTCCCCATGTCCCTGGCACACAGGGCCAGGGTGGTGGCCTCGTGGTTACCCCAAAGAGCCACCCTGGGTGACGTGTGCGGCTCCCCCGGCACCCGCCCATCCCTACCTGTACCGCTCCTCCTGCAAGCACTGCGTCATGTAGGTGTAATCCCGCTGCAGCTGGGCCTTGAGGTCCTCCATGGAGTCCTCCAGGTGCGACTGGCTGTCTTTGATCTCCCGGAGCTCCTCCAGGATGGTGTCAAAGTTATTGTGGTGGCTGTCCAGCGTGTTGGACTTGGGGCTCCCCAAGCCGCCGGGTCCTGCCCCTGAGTTGCTGCCACCAGCCGAGCCGGAGGTGGCACTGGAGCACTCGTCGTCGCTGCCGTACTTGGGGCTGGAGACCAGGGTGGCACTGCCGCTGAGAGCCCGCGAAGCCTCCTCGGGGTGCCCGTCATCCAACGTGTCCTTCAGGTGGGCGATGTTGTCCGCGCTGCCGAACTTGTTCCGGATGAGGCTGGCGAACTCCCGGGGCTTGGAGACCACGGCGGTGTGGGTGGCCTGGGACAGACCCGAGAGCCCTCCCTTGACGCCCTCCACCACGCCGCCACCAAAACCGCTGATGCTGGAGCGAACGTTGGCGCCCACATCCTTGAGACCCTGGTGCATGTCCCGGAAGACATCCTTGGGCTGCCGGGAAGGGCCGTTCTGCTCGATCTCCTTCAGCTTCTTGTGGTAGTGCTCCAGCTTCTTGTGCAGCTGCGCGATGGTCTGCGCCGACTTCTGGTTCTTCTTCTCGAAAACCTGCTTGATGCGGGAGGCTTGCTGCTTGTCCGCGTTGTTGGCCAGCTTCAGGTACTCGGCCACGTTGTCATCCCGAGCCTCCTGCTCGATCTTGATCTGCTCGGTGATCTTGAGGATCTTCTGGTGCAGGTGCTCAATGGCAGCTTTTGTCCTGTGAGGGTCAGGGGTGCCATCGGGGACGTCCAGGCAGACGGTGCCGTCGGCGTCGCCGTGCCCAGTGGTGGAGGGCAGGCTGAGCGCGGTCACGTCCCCCTTGTCCAGCTGTGAGCAAAGAGAGAGGAGGGCGATGCTCAAGGTAGGGAGCTAACGCCCCGGGGAGGGGGCAGGAGAGGAACGGGGTGTGGAGGCAAGAGCTGGGCAGGAGAATAGTTAACCAGAAGTTGTTTTTTTTCCGGCTGGTTAAGCATTTCCCAGCCACAGCGCTACTGCTGGCATCCTGGGAATAAGCCAGTTAGAGGGTGCAGCCACTAAATAATTAGTGTTTCAGGGCTGGTTTTGGCCAGTGGCTTTCAGCAAGGAGCACCTGCTGCCACGAGCTCGACTCTGACTTTCCACCCTCGCTCTGGGCAGGGACGGGCACCAGCATCTGGGGGCTGCTGGACACCCAGCGCCAGCCAGGGAAAAAGGAGCGAGGAGCTAAAACTGGAACCCATCATCTGATCTCCCACCAAACCAGCAGCGAGAGCAGGGATTGAGCAACCCGGAGGTATTTTAGTCTCTTTTTCAGACTTTGGCTTTTAGCCTAGATGCACACAGGAGTTTTTCAGCTGAGGAGAAAGAGCCATAACCCCAATTTGTGGATGACTCAGGAGCAGCTCCTGATCCCCGGAAAGCAGCAGGCTGCTTTCTTTTCCAAGGTTTCTCACCTGGCAATGCCAGACTCCTCTTGCAAACACAAGCTGCCACCTAGAAAGTTCGGACACATGCTCCTTTCCATTTTACAGATGGAAAAACTGGAGCTTTAGGGGAGGAAATCACTTGCCTGGGGCCACACTTAAAACCACTGGCAGAGCCTGGACTGCGATGGAGGGTCCTGCCTCGTGCTCTCCAACCCGGCCGTGCTGCTTTGCCATTAAAAAAAAAAATCACTAAATCTTTCCAGTTGCTGGGTTTTATATGCAGATTCTTATGCAAATCTCAGCGGTTGTATAAATGGCTTCTGGCTTCTAATTAAGAGCTGCTTGAAAGTTAAATACTGTTGGCAGACCTGAATAATTTCTAATTTCCATCACACTTTCCCCGAATGACCCTTTAATAGGGATAATGCTGCGAGATCATTACTTAGGAGTGTGTTATCACCAGGAAATGCCTTGCGCGGGAGGGAGGAATGTTCTCAAGATGCTGCTTACAAGCGCTCCCGTCTGCAGCAGATCCCGCGTGGGGCTCAGGAAAGCAGGGGCCAATGCTGCCATTCTGTTATTTACTTGCATCTCCTTTTTCCCCCGGCGCTGCTGTCCTGCTGGGAGCCCGGGGGTGTTGGTGCTTCACACGGGGGTCTCATGGGAAGCAAGAGCAGACGAGCACAAGCTCAACGGGAGCATCCTCCAGCCCCCTCCCCAAGGCTTTTCTTCTCTATCCATTGCAGCAGCACTACTGTAATATGGGGGATGAGAGTGGAGGAGAAACGTACGGTGGAGCTGGCTGCAGTCTGGCTGGAGCAGCACTTTAAAAAAAAAACAATAAAAAAAACGCCCAACAAAACCTGCAGAATTTCAGACCCTGTGGCCAGGCTATTCTTAGTTGCTGGGCTGGTCCCTCCAGCCACCCCATGAAGGGTTTCACTTTTGTTTCTTATCGAGAAATTAGAAGCAGCAGGAAACAGACTTTTTGCCCAGATGTCCAATTCTCTGTACAGTGAGGGACAAACCGGCCGTGGCAAAGGAAAAGGCAGCCCCAGAGATGCTGAAAGAGGAAACCCCAGCTGAGCCAGAGAAGGGGAGAAGTTGCTTAAACTTTGTTTCCAAACAGGGAAAGGTTTGGGAATCACCCAAACTTTGCTCCTGCCAAGGCAACCTGTTGGATTTATTCCTGGGAGGATATTTGGGAGCATGGGGGGGAAGGAAGGGCATGGATGCGATGCTGCCCATCCCTGCTGACGTGGCTGGGGTGAAATCCTTTCCCCAAGCCTCACTGAAAGTTTGTCTCTCTCTCTCAGACACTGGGTACATCACAGGAAAGCCACATCAGGTTATTGCTTTGAAAACAACAACCGAAAAAAAAAAAAAAAAAAAAAAAAAAAAAAAAAAAAAAAAAAGACAATACCGATCTTTGCAGTATTAACAGACAGTGCCTGCTAAATCCCAGCAAGCCTAAATGACTGTGCAGTGGATTTAACCAGGGGATTAATAAAAGCCACGCTTTCTCTACATGCAGAAAACCTTCTGGTGGGCACATCAAAAGGAAAGTGCTGTTTTCCAGCCCTTGTTTTCCAGGCAGGCTCAAAGGGAGAGAGCAGGGGCTGATGTGGGATGCGGGAGGAATGCAGGACGCAGGAAGAAAAATTATTCTTATCAACAGAGTTTAACCCAGGAGAGCTGAGATATGCAAAAGGTTCAAGCTAATAAGCTGAGCAAACAGTACTTAGAGGGCCACGGCCGGGTGCAATTATGCAATGCTGGTTTATTTGCTGCTGCAGGTTTGGTGGAAGAAAGCCCAGGTGGCAGGTGAGGAGCTCCGGGCCCAGCAGCTCGCTCGTGGCCGTGTCCCCGGCACACCCGGGACTGGAAGGGATTTATTTAAACCCGTTCTTAAGAAATTACACAATTATTGCAAAGTTCAGAACAAAACTCTCAAGACACTTACTCGTGCCCTGAACTATTCTGTTCTCCATACCCTGTAGCCTACTCGGAGGTGCAGCGGATGAGCTAACGCCGTGGCTCCTGCTGCATCGCCCCTGAGCGAGGACTTTCACCACCAAGTGTGACCGTGGTTCCCAGCCGGAATACAACACGGGAACAAAACGGCTGCGGAAGGACCAGATGCAACTTCAAGCGTGGAAAAAAGAAGTACCACTGAGCTTTCGAGGGATGCTGGCATGCGGGGCAGACCCGAGGAGCTACTGCACTCATCTGGCAGCCCCGCAGCGCAGGTGGCACCGTGCCCTGGGTGCTGTGGAAAGCCACGAGGGAGAGGCCACAGCCGGCAAGAGAAATGAAGGTGGGCAGCGGATGTGGAGAGGCTGATTTTGGGGCTGTCATTAAATGGGGGCATTTCTGCCTTAGAGCATTTCATCAGCGTGATTCGGGACAGCCTCTGTCCCGTGAGCTGGTGTCTGCGCTTCACCAGCGTTACGGGGGACACTCCGGGTGTCCCCGGTCCTGTCCCCGTCCCCAGGTGTGTTTGCAGCCCCGTGCCTCCCGCAGCGGAGCCGCTATTCCCACCAGACCGCGTTAACCCACCCCAGGCGTTGAAAATAGAAGCAGGAGCCCTGACTCACACTTCCCACCCTCCTCTCAAGCCTGCAGCAGAGACCGAAGCAGGCAGCCCCCTGTCCCCCTCCGCGCCCTCCCTGCCCTGCCTGCTGCCTGCTCCTGCCCGGACACAATGGGCCGGTGGCAGCTGCCTCCGTTAATTTATCAGCCTGAGAAGATTTTTTCTTACATAATGTAGGGAGGCTCGTTAAGGGTTTCAGCTCACGGTGGAGCTTCCCACCCCGGCTTTGCTGCACCGGCACGGATCACACCAGTGGGTTTCATTCGCCGAGCACCACAAACGGAGGTACCGAAAGCCCCCCGCGGGTCTCTCTGCCCATCGCCATCCTCCCCGTTGTCTTTTTCTAACCCCCAACGGCTGCCGGGACCTACCTCCATCGCTGGCAGGGCTGGGGTCCCCCAGGGCTAGTTGGCGTGGGCCGCTGGGCCGTGTCCCCGCCGCGGCACGGAGCCCGGCAGCGATGCGCGGGCAGCGCTGGCTGCCATGGCAGGGGGCCTGGCCTGGCAGCTGACGGCAGCAAAGTTTCAGGGGAGCAGCAGGGAGGGAGGGAGGGAGGAGGAGAACCCTCCTGCAGACCCCCGTAGGGCTGGTCCCGCGTCCACGGTCGCCTCCCGAACACGCAGGGACTGAGCCGGTGGTTGCAGCGGGATTGTCGATTCAGGAAATCTGCTGGAGCTGTTTACAGCTCTCGGTGACGGGAGCTTTCAGGGCTGAAATGCAAAAACCCCCCCCTCGTCCCTGTGGCGGGATGTTCACACGCCTCCAGCCCCATACGCTGCCTGTGCCCTGACGCAGGGGGTCCTGTTGTCATCTGCTGTGTCACACACCAGGACATAAAGCCCGGGAGAGGTGGAGGGGGGAGGCGTGCACAAAACAAAACTCCGTCTGGGATCAACGCACGGGAAAAATACACTTGAGGAGCAAGGAGCTGGGCACCCCGAGGGAGCTAAAACCTGGGAAATTGTGTTGGGACCAGGTAGGGTCTTGGCTGTGCACTGGGATGGTCCCGGGTCTGATGGGGAAGGTTACACCGACCCGATTCTGCCACCGGAGAACACACAATGCACAGAAAACACATCCAGCCGACTGACCAAATACAAGTGTTTTGACACTTCACATGCAATTAAAAAGATATTAAATGGGACGTCCAACAAGCAAGCAGGGACGACAGCAGGCTCTGGTTCTGCAGCCATTTATGCTGGGGCCAGTGCGGCTGGTGAGGGGCCAAAGCACAAGCCCTGGCTGAGGAAGGAGACTCAGAGCTTGTGCGTTTGACTCGGCCCAAACCTGCGGGGTTGCACGGAGCAGGATCAGGCCTGGCTGAGGGTGATGGAGGGAAGCAGAATTCAAGCCCACAGCCCACAGCTGTTCCAGACCAAAGCCCTCAGCATGCCCTGCTGATGCCAGGATTGTTTGAAACCTCAAACCAACTGCGGCTGCCGATCAGAGCATCTGTGCAGCCGCAGACAACGGGCTAAATGGGAAAGGATCATTTGCAGCGCTCTGGTCTGGTTATTTCTCAAAAAAAGCAACAAGACAACAACAGCTTAGGAAGTATTTTCAGCCACGCATTGAACTGTACAGGCTGGACCGATGAGCCGATCGTGACCTAGATGCATGTTTAATGGGAAGGACCGTGCTGCTCCCGCAGCTGAGATGAGCCCAGCGCAGCTCAGCCTCCTGCTTCCCATCAGCTCTCGGGCTGTCCCTACGTCCATCCGTGCCCTGGAAGTGTAACCTGCCACATCCGAGAGGCTCTGGGTGCTGTGCTGCACCCCTGAGCTATGGTGCACAGCCCAGCCAGCACTGCCCATGCGGGAGCTGGCCCTGCCCAGCACAAAAATCAACCTGACCTGGCATGGATGGATTTGAGAGGTTTGCTTTGATGGCTCCACAAAAGCTCCATCACCAGGTCTCGGTCCGCCCATATTCTGCAAACATGAGCTCCCCTAAACCCCACCATAGACACTCGCTTGCAATGTCGGGGAAGCTTCCCTGTGGGGAAATGTCCCTTGAGGGGAATGGCACAGGCACAAAAGCAGCAGCCTCCACTCGCGCTGCTCTGAGCCAGGAAGGCATTTCCTTGAATCTCAGAATCATCTCAGTTGGAAAAGCCCTCGAAGCTCCTCCGACCCAACCATGACCCTCACCCTGACCGTTCCCAACTCCCCCAGATCCCTCAGCGCTGGCTCAGCCTGACTCTTCAACCCCTCCAGGGATGGGGACTCCTCCCCTGCCCTGGGCAGCCCATTCCAACGCCCAACAGCCCCTTCTGCACAGAAATCCTTCCTCAGAGCCAGCCTGACCCTGCCCGGGTTCAAGAATCACTCGCAGCATTTAGCCTGGCTCTGCCAGACCCTCCCAGACCAGCATCAGTGCCCATGCTCACAGCTCTCCATGCACCCCTGGGTGCCAGGAGCGGGGAGGAGGCAGAGCTGGAGCCTTGTCATGGACTGATCCATGATGTGAAGCTGCCAAACCATGGTTCAACACCAATAACTAAAATCCTTGGCCCCTTCTAGCCCACGTTCCTGCTGCCACAGAACCGGCACCATGCACAGATCCCTGCCCAGGGCATCCCCAGCCGTGCCGCCGTGCCTGCAGGTGTTGATGTGAGATGGTGCTTGGGAGGAAGGGACAGGCTGGATCGGCCAGGCAGCAGCACAGCTCACCACTGCTGCCTTCCAAAACCGGCCTCGGCTGCTGGGGAAGCGGCGCTGGAGGGACCCGGCTGGTCCCCACGCCCCAGCCCGGGGATGGCACAGCCTGAGCATCCCCACAGGCCACCAATCCCTACGGGAGTTGCTTCTACACACAGAACTGTGGGCAGCCCCCGTGTTTCTCAGGAGGACAGGATCTTGTAGGCACAAGTCTCCCCTCCCCATCAACCTGTGAGTTTGTATAAGCAACCTCTGTGCATGCCAGCGCTGAGCCCTGTCCCCGCGCACCCACCCGCTGTTTGCAGGGGGCTGTGGTACCATCCACAGCAAAGGACAGAGCGAAGAGCAGATTCCCTGGTAAGTTAAACCCACCAGGAGCAGAAACCAGCTGTGCCTACCGTACGGTGCTCAGCCGTGCCGGGGAAGGGAGAGAAATGAGCAGAGTTTCCTCCCGGTGCCACACCGATGCTCCAGAGATGCGGGGTATGGCCAGACCCTGTGGGCAACGCCACAGCGCTGCCCGCGGGGAGCGGGGTTGCCAGCACACCCGGCTCCTTGCCAGCGTGGGTAGGAGCAGCGTGTCTCCCGTGGGCACGGGCCGCTCCTCGTCTGTCCCTCCGATCCCACCAAGCTGCCCCAGCCAGGGTGGATTTTGCAGCCTGGCCAAGCCCCGGGCTGTGGCTGCCTCCGGGCACGGCACAGGGCAGGTCACCGAGGGACACTCGGCTCTGTCTAACATCTCTTACAGCATCACTTCTCGTTTTAGCACAGGAGCCTGAGGTCACTTCCTATCACTCTTCTGCCATCTCAGCAGGGCAGGAAAAGTCCCCAGCTGCACAAGACACTCTGGAAAACACCTTCCCTGCTCCGAGCTCTGCTTTCCATTTCCCATGTTCAAAACACTGGGGCCGGCCCCGAGGCCCCTCGTCTCCCAGCACAGGCAGCGGAGGGAAGCACCTTTCGGGGATGCCAGGCACAGCCCCGCTTCTGCGCTGTGACACAGGGCCCCCAGCCTGTGCTTAACTGTAATGCTCCCCCTGAACCCCCCCACACACCTCCTGCCAGCTCACAGCCCCCCTCAAACCCTGCCTGACCTGCCAGGCAGACCCTGGCCTCAGGGAAGGATGGAGGAGAGCAGATTTCCCCAGAGGAAGCTGAAAAAGTGGGGACTTGATAAATACCAGGATGCTCAGGATGAGACTTTGCAGGCAGCCTGCTGCAATGAGACCTGGAGAGTATTTTTTTTTATTTATTGGGGATCTCAGGCAGCTCGGATCATAGGAAACCACCTGCTCTCAGCTCCCCAGTGCAAGGGGAAGGTTAAGGTTAGCAAATAATTGCGGAAGCAAGAACGTCGCCTATTAATGCCCCAGCAAAGCGAGGTGGAGCAGTGGTGCAGCATCTCCCCTCCCGAGAGCACAGCCTCCCTTCCACACAACGCAAAAACCCCGCCGGCACGGGAAAAGGGGGGGATTTTGCAAGGAAATTACCCGAGAGGTTGGTGGTGGACTCCCCTTCATCCTTAACACCAGCTCTGCTTTAGGAGATTTAGTCCGCTGCTTAGAAAGCGGCAGCTATGTTTTTCAGGCCTGTCTGTAAGAGGCAAATTTAAAAATAAATAAACCCCAGGTCCATCCATGCAAAGTAACTCCCTGGAGGGACACAAAATCAGAGCACGTTCGGTGTGTGCCGGTGCTGAGTGGTGCAGAATCTGGCCCTGAATGCTTACAAAGTCTCGGTCCGAGCATCTCAGCCAAGAGACAGGTCACCTCGTGATGCAGCACAAACCACACGGCAGATTTGGGACTCGAGCTCTGCCTTTGCTGGCGGCACAGGAACACGCAGGGGCTGAGCTTAGCGCCGAGGAGCAGGTACTAAAAAAAGGAAAGACCAGATGAGCTGCTCTAGAGCCCTCCGCTGGGCTGGGAAAGCTGAGTTACGGATTATTGGGAACCAGGTCGCTGATACAGGTAAAGTCTGCGAAGTCCACTGCTCCTTAACCCCACGTTCCCGAGTGCTTTTGGTGTGGCAAGTGGCTTCTTGGCCACCCCCCTCACAAGCAGCGGCCACACAGAGCCCAGCAGCAGCCTGACCTTCACCCAAGGACCACCTTGCTCCTCACCCCTTGTTCCCCGACATCCCCAGTCCTTGCCTAGGAGCAGAAGGAGAGCGGCGCGGGGGTACTTACAAAGACACCCAGCAGAGAATTTAAGAGCAATATCCTTTTCCCAGGACAGGAGTCGGGAGGATGCGGTTCCGGCATGAGGATGCCCTGGTCGCTCCGGCTGGTGCTCCGCGAGGCGGCCGGATCCTCTCCCTCTGTCATGGCTGTGGTTAAGGAGTCGAAGGGGCAGAGGATCCTACGCCGTGTGTTTGCAGAAGAGGCACCGCGAGGCTCTGAGGGAGCCAAGAACAAGCAGCACAGGCTGGCGAGCAGGGAGGGAGCCCGGGGGAGCGGGAACAGGCTGGGTGCCACAGGGGCCGGTCCTGCTCCTCCAACTGTGCTGGGAGAACAAACAGCACCGCCAAGCGCTGCCCGGCCGGGAACAAACAAACGAGCCGCCGCGGTTCCCCGGTCGCCGGTCTGAGCTGGGCTGGTGCCACAATCCCACGGTGGCGGGTGGGGAGCGTGTTCTTGCCCAGCACCCAGCAGAGAGCCCTGCGTGGGGAGCGGCTGTGTGGGTGCAGACGGGCAGATCCCAGGAGCCTTTGGGGGGTCCCTGTGCCTCGCTGCCCCTCCGTACTGCGCTGACCCCAGAAGTTTCTAGTTCACACCACGCCCTCCGGGCTGGGGACTGTCCCTTGTGCCCTGGGCTTGCAGGTCACTGAGGGGGACACCTCTGCAGGGATGATTCAATGACCATCCCGCACGGGTGAAGCTAATCAGGGCCCTGCCTACACTTGGGAGAATCGCTGGAAAAATTCCCGCTGTGGTTTTTACCGGAGGGAGTAACCAACCCCCCGGAGCTCCCGCAATGGTGCTATTTCGCTTGCTGCATTAAAACCACCGGCAGCACCCCCAGCCCCTGCTGCAGTTGGGTTTTGACACTCAGGGTGCTTGTGCAGCCGCAGGGAGGGGATTTTCAGTGGCCTGAAGGGTTTGAGGGGGGAGGCAGGGAGAGGCAGAGCCGCAGCGAGGCGAGGAGTCACAAGGCAGGACCCTGCTTGGCTCATCCTGACTCAGGAGCCAAATCCTGCTCTCAGCTACAACCCTGCAGCAGGAGAGATCGCGGCGTGGACATGAACCCTCGCTCCCCCAGTCCTGCCCTGTCCATCCTAGGCATCCCACCAGCCACCCGCTCGGCCCGAATCCTCCCCGGGGCAGGCGATCACGGTGCCTGCCTGTCGGGGAGCGGGAGCTGCTGGTGGGCTGGAAACAACAGCCATATGTCAACGAAGGCTGAGGAACACGATGTCTTTTGCTAGGAGGTGAATCAGTATGAGAGTCTGATATTCTTCTTCTCCTGAATTAATTAAGCAGCAATCTCGGGGATCTTTGTCTTCACAGCTATTATCTGCTTTTCCCTCCTCGAAGCACCATCCCGATGGGAGCGAGGGAAGGAGTTCCCACCACCACCACCCTTCACTCACAGACTCTCGTTCTCCTGCGACACGCGGGGAGATGGAGGTAGAGAGGTGGGAGCTGCCCTGGACACGAGTGCTCTCGCACCTCCAGTTCCGTGATGCCTGGCGGGGGCTCCGTTTGCAGCCTGGGTCAGCAGCTCCCCCCCAAAACCCTCTGGCACTTGTAGGGTGCCCACACACCGGTGCTCCCCGGCTCACCCCATGGGGACCCTGCCTGGATTCTGGGGGGATGCCTGGCTGGGGGGCTGCAGGGAGGGCAGCTTTACACCACCGTTCCCTCTATTCACTTTTGCAGTCACCGTTGGCCTATTTTAGCTCCTGCCTTTGGGATTTTAACACTAGCACTCACCCAGAGTTTGGGTGGGAGGGGAGGATGTGCTTTGCCTGTCAGCAAATCCTCCTAAAGAGATGCAAGAGACTTCACCAAACGCAGGGAAGTGTTGGCCCTGTTTCCTAGCTGGGGAAACTGAGGCAGGGAGCAAGGCAAAAATCCGTGCCTAGGTTAGATGTGGGGACAGCAACTGCAAGCAGTGAGATTTGAAGGTCCCGTGTCCCCTTAGCTCGTGCCAGCTCCCCTTAGGTCTCACCACCTCCAGAAAGCAGGCTGCCCGCTCGGGAGCTCAGGCTCAGGCTCCTGGTTTTAGGATCACTGGCCCCAGCTCCGCAAGCACTCAAACTTCCACAGAAAATAAGTTTTAGGGGCAGGCAGCAAAGCATCACCAGCATCCCACCGCCCGAGCCGCCCCCGTGCGCCCAGCCGACCTCCCCTTGCCACCACCACGTCCTCACCCGCCGCAGGGAGAAAGGATACTCAGGAAGCGCCGCGGAGCAAACCCGGGTTTCTACCTGCAAGGCCTCGGCCCCGGGGCATCTCCCCGCCAAGCTGGAGCCAGCCTGGGGCTGCTTCAGCACCCCGACAGGCCACGCTGGCCCTGGGGGGTCATGGCTGGGTTGAGCAGAGTCCCCATCCCTGTCCCCGTCCCTGTTGTCAACTGAGACCAGTTCTGGGTAACCGGAGCTGTAAGAGGCGAGAAACCACGTCCCCGCCCTGAAACCGAAGGCGGTTGGATGCCGGCGGGGTCGGAGGGAGCCAGGGCTGAGCTGGACACGCTGCAGCCAGACAGCAGATGCCTGAGCAGAGCAGATGAACTTTGTGACAGCCCTGAGCTGCCAGGGCCAGGGCTGAGCCAGCCCACAGCCTCCCGGCCACCACTCGCCCTAACCCTCCATGCCTGTGGGCCACAGCCACCCCCAGGTGGATGCTCAGAAAGGCCAGGTTTCTCCCTGCTGACTATAATCCCTCTTGCCCTGATATAGCCACTGATCCGGCGAGCGTCTAAATTTAGCAGGATGAATCTTGCCCTACGTTCGAGGCAGCGGGACGGTGGGGATGAGGCTGTAAGGATGGGTGTCCCCCCCGCCAGGGCAGAGCCCCAGGACGCTGCAGACCCCCTGCGGGCAGTGGCAGGGGAGTGGAGGGGGGGACAGGAGCAGGGAAATGGCACACTCGGGCTACGAGCCCATAAATAAACGTGGCTCGCAGCCGCTCAGCAGCCGGCCTGGCCCGCAAGCCCAAAGCTGAGACGTGGCATGAAGCCCCCCCCTGCTCCCCCCTGTTCCTCCCCTGTGTCTCACGGGAGAAGCATCCGCGCCGGGGGGCCAAGGCGGCCGCGGGAGGGGCACGGGGGGGCCGCGGGCAGCGGTGGCAGCTGGTGCTGTCACTTGCCAAGGGACACCGAGGGCGGACGGGCCGGGAGCCCG